ACCCAAATTGGGCCGAATGGCTCAGCCCATTCGGACCCATATTTCTTGGCCAAAGGTGGCACCGCTTGGGTCGGTGGTGGCATCGCCCAGGGCTCAGTCTCCGAGCTCTGCACCGCCTCTGACAGAGGTGCAACCACTTGAGCTCGGTCTCCGAGCTTTGGCTAGGCGGTGCAACCGCCCCAGTCAGGCAGTGGCACCACTTGAGCTCGGTCTCCGAGCTCTGGCAGGAGGTGCAACCGCCCCTGACAGGAGGTGGCACCGCCCAGAGGCTCAGTCTTCGAGCTATGCCAGGCAGTGCAACCGCCAGACCCCGGAATTTCGGGAATTGACAGTTTTGAGCTCGGAATTCAAACTGGGTTAGGGCCTATAAATACCCCACCCTTTCAGCAATGACAGAGTAACCAAAAACCACCGAAATCCTGATCTTACTCTATGATTTTTAGAGCTCAAAAGTGTTGTATGAGTTAGAAGTTCTCCTCCTTTTCTTCCAAGTTCTGATCTTTCAAGAGAGAAGAGAAAATTTTGTAAGGGTTGTCTCCTAAGCCCGTCAAAAGGAGTGAAACTGTAAAAGGGTGGTTGGCCTTCACCTATTGAAGGAAGGCCTCTAGTGGACGTCGGTGACCTCGTCGGTGGAGGAAGCCAGAAGTGGATGTAGGTCAAGATTGACCGAACCACTCTAAAATTGCGGTGCTCTCTGGTTTGCATTTACTTTGAGCATATTATCTTTACTGCAAACCTCCTCAATAGCTTACTGCCTTCTACGCATTTACGATCGTGTTTCAAAGTTCAGTATTTTTCGAATCGGTGTTTAGACGTAAATCAGTTTTATCGTACGAACATCATATTTCAGTTTGCGCTTACCTTTTGATTTCCATCATAACTGCAAACTGCCTTTATAGATTCGCTTTAACTGCATCTCACTTGATTACAAGTTAAAGTGATTTACGAATCGGGTTTTCTATCGAAATCACTTTTATCGTACGAACGCAGTTTTAATCGTCGAAAATTTTTCGCTGCACTAATTCACCCCCACCTCTTGATATTTTTCCTTCAGCTCAGGATGTTCTCATGCTCGTTGTTTGCAGGACTAGAGTGAAATGTCAATAGCCTATAGGCCAATTCATGCAGATGCCACGTACGACTTCAAGTATGGGTTGAGAGCGATACAGGTATCCTATGCACCTTGTTGCTATTTAATCTTTTAACAGTCATATAATCCAGTCTATATTATATGAATTTAGTTTTGACATCTGAAAGATCTATTTTCAGTTTTACTATAAGATTTTCTTTTCTCACATATATTGTCAAGGTATACAAATTGGTTTACCTTTTCTTATATCTTTGTTTATCACATACTGTTCCTATATATTGGCTGGTAGGAATATGTTCATCCTTTGTCGATCATGTGCTGGAAGAATGGCTGGGTTAGAGTATAAATGAATCATGCGATATGTGCTTTTGATTTTGGACTCAATTTCATGGTTGGTTGTGCTTGTTTCACGAGTAACCATAATGCTGATGAAATTAACCAATTCTTGGTTGATGAAAAGAATATAGTAATAATAAAGAATTAGGATATTTTATCATATAAAATTTGCAGACAAAGGCAGATAAAGTACATTTTGATGCTTGTATAAATATCTTGGCATCTATGGCTTGTTAAGTTTTGTTGTTATTTAGTTCCAGGGCTTCTGCAAAATTGTGAATGTGAAGTAATGTAATTACCTTATTATGAGAGCATTTGATTAGTGGACCTGAGCTGGGGTTATATCCCTATTGTTGTCCCTGTCCTCCCACCTCTATTTTCTCATGTCCGATAATCTCTAAGAATGATATAGTCATCTAACTCGGTTATGTGAAACATTAATCAAATAATTGACCACATGAAATTCTACATGTAGCAATCATCATCTGATAGTATAGCTAATGCAGGATTTCAACTGGTGCTTGCATATCAGTGTGAGCTCTGCATCTGTTTAACATTACTTTTGTTCCCCCTCCCCTCCCTTACAGATTATAGCATATGTTTCTCGAGTGCACAAAGTGGTGCTTCCTGAAGGAGTTGTTGATAATGAGACAGTGACCCTCGATCAGGTCTGTCATTGCTCAGTTTTTCTAAATACTATTACCATTTTCTCTTTATGTATTATTGTGAACTGATTATAGCATTGCTGACACTATCAGATTGAGAGTAATATCGTTAGATGTCCGGATCCAGAATATGCTCAAAAGATGATTGAGGCCATTGATGCTGTTCGAGTTAGAGGTGACTCTGTTGGTGGTGTCGTGACTTGCATTGCCAGAAATGTTCCACGAGTAATTATTTGACCTGATTCAACTTCCTTTCTCTAACACTGTAGCTTCTTCTCAGTAATGAATTATAATAATTTGCATTGACCTGGATTAATTGACATTTCAAATTGCTGGAAATCTTGTCCTCTTGTATTCTACGAGAGCATTCTCAAGTGCACTCACTGTGATCAGGGTCTTGGGTGCCCAGTGTTTGATAAACTGGAAGCTGATTTGGCAAAAGCGATGTTGTCTCTGCCTGCAACAAAAGGGTTTGAATTTGGCAGCGGTTTTTCAGGTAGGTAATTGTAGACCCCAAGTATGTTTTCTGATGTTCTCCATACACAACTGGTCTTATCAGTATTTCATGGTTAGAGCTTCTGAATTCTTTGGACTTGTTTTTCCTCTCTGTTACTGTCTTCAGGTACTTTTATGACCGGAAGTGAGCATAACGATGAGTTCTACATTGGCGAGCATGGTAATATGCGAACAAGATTTCCAGCAATTTGAAATTTCAATTACTAATCTGCATTTAAAATTTTGGACTTTGTGAAATACGATGATTCCTCTGTACAGGGAGGGATATCCAATGGAGAAACCATCTCTACGAGAATAGCTTTTAAACCAGCATCTACAATTGGGGTAAGCTGGTTTTGAATCAATGTATGATAGTTGGTGTAGATTATATTCCACACATTTCTAATCCCTGATGAACTAAAACTTGACGCCTTTCCACAATGTTAAAATGAAAGGAAACAAAATACTAATTTTTCTGGTCAAATGATCGAAGCAGAGATGTTTTAATAATTAAACCACCTCAGTCCCTAGTGGGAAACAAAGAATCTGTTCTACTATCATGAGGGTGGTAATGCATCACTGTAACACTCTGGTGGTGTCGATGTTCTGTTAGTTTAATTTTCTGTTTCTCAGTTATATCATAGTCTTACTATGATTTATTTATTTCATCAGAAAAAGCAGAAGACAGTGACAAAGAGAACGACAACGACATGAAACTGATCTCATAGCAAGAGACCGCTATGACCCTTGTGTTTGATAGTAGATAAGATTTCTTCAAGAAAATCTCTATATTTTATTAAGAAAAATCCTTTATTCTGTTGAGAAAAATTCTCCTTCATTATTTATATAAATAGGAGAGGACATGTTAATGTATTTAAGTTTCTTCACTTCTTCAATAAAGTTTTTTCAATGAAGCTTCTTGAATAATTCTCTTATGTTCTATTTTTTTCAACAGTTTTATTTTTAAAATTTTTCATTCCGGCCTGATTTTCTGTTTTGCAGCTGTTCCGATGGTGGAAGCCATGGTAGCGTCGGTGCTGTTGGATCAACTTATGGCCCAAACTGGACAATGTGGATTGTTTCCTGTTGATCCTGCCCTCCAGCAACAGATTGCTCCTGCTCCAAATGGATCCTTGCTCACCCCAAAGCTTGCTTAATACGAGGATGTTGCTCCTAGTGGAGCTAAGCACAACTAAGGTCCATATTTACTGAGTTCAAATGCTCTGAAATGAGTTTCTGTTGTTCCTTTTGTCAAATCTATTTAAGCGCTGTTGTTGCACCCAAATTCACACAGTTGTGTCCTGTTCTGGATGAGAAAAAGGCATTTGTATTAGTTAAAATTGCTTCTCTACAGATCTTTAGTTAAATTTGGTTCTTGAATGTTAAGACTGTGTCACCCTTTTTGTTCCTTCCCTCTTTAACATTGTTGAACGTATCTACAGATGACCGAGCTTTACATTTTGTCATGTCAATTTTTTTATCTTGCTTCATGAGGAGAAAGATTGTATATGGCAAATTTAGGGTTTAATCGTTCAGGTTTTTGTTATAATCAACACAGGTAGGTGGCTAGACCGATCACGTTGACCCTCAACAAGAAGCTATTTTGTTTGGAGCCTAAATTGAACAACAGCCTCTTTTGACTAATTGAAATTTGTGCTAGGATCGATCATTAATGATTTTAGCATCATGATGATGACGAAGAAGGTGTTCTACTTGGAATGCCTACCCTTGGCTTCTAGGCATCCGATCCAACCACCTTGATCTTTATGTTTAATTCTTATCATCCTCATTTCTATGGAATCAGGAAATATATTGTTGCAGATGAATACATTATTGGTGACATTTCGTGGTGCTGAAATGCTGATGATATAGAGATTGCTAGTAGCTGCCAACCTGGAAGATGTTCAACTTTCAGATCATGGCGATTGGGAAAGAGAGAAGTAAAGAGGAAAAAATGGTGGTACGGCAGCAAAGACAAAGGATATGCCCTCAGGTGAGTCGAACAGTAGCACTTTGGACCACATGCCTCCTCCTTAGATCTTCTCATTGCTTTCCTCACTTCCTTTCTTGACCTCTTGCACAGGGTTACAATGTTGAGTTAGCCCCACAATCCCTTCTCATGCAATGGTCTGAGAGAGAGAGAGAGAGAGAGAGAGAGAGAGAGAGAACAGATGTGTTTGGTTGTCCGTTTGTGATTCTTGGTGACTGAGAAATAGGGAATGCCTTTCTTTCTGCACTCCAGAGATACCCTACCCTACTAGTAGACCTTTCTTTCTGCTTGCTTCCTGCCTCCCTCTTTGCTCGAGTGTTCTTATCATGGATTCACCCATTGCCTGCCTAAGTAGCCCATGTTCGTTAGTTTACTTTGGGTGCACGAGCCAAGCGGAAGAAACATGCCATCTCAAAACAAAAGCAAATGTTTTGCACCAAAACCAACCAGGAGACACATGGATCTTAAGCAACCATGTCTCATCACATAGAGAACTAAAGAGGAGGAAAAATCAATCAACACTGTCATGGATAGAGAAAAGAGAGTACCACTTGCTTGATTCAGCATGTCCTATTCCTTTTGTTGGATCCATGGACCACAGATTGTGAAGCCTGGGAAGGTAGATAGATGATGATGGGGGCAGATGTGTGTGCAAACAGACTTAAGAAGCAGCACTAGCAACAGATGGAGGGAATGATGAAGCATGAACTACCCCCAGAAACAGCAGGGGGTTCCTTGCCATTGTGAATTATGGGCGGCGGCCCTTCGACACAACATTTACCTGAGGAGCAAGAATCAGCGACAGCCTCTCTTCCTTCCTAATAACATGGAATGCTGCATCAAGACAAAGACGGGACTGCTCGACCAAGTGCGAACATGGAGATTCTTGTAACCGAGAATGCTGTACTTCTACTTGAAGGAAGAGAACGGCAGGAACACAAGGCCAGCGCTGCTTCATGCATGGACTGACTACGACTGCTTACTTGTGGTGGCGGACTTCGGAGGATGTGCTCGCTTCAATGCGACGGTGGGTGCTATTCGGCAACTCCTTCGCCGGTGCTCCAGCACGAGCTCCCCTGCAAGCCAATCCAGCTTCTCCATGTTCGTCTGCCCACGCACCCTCTTCCCACCGAATAGCACCGACTCCACGTTCTTCTGCCGCAGCATCTCTTCCGCCGTCTCCGACAGCACCTTCACGGTAACCGGCCTTGCGTCGTAGTCCACCTCCGCGCTGCATCTTCCCATGCTCGAAGCATCAGCCTGCGATCACACAAAACCAACAGACATCAATGTCTACGGACTCTTCGGCTCGTGCAATGGACCTTTAGGATACTGATGCGCTAGGTTATTCAACTGGAAACAAGGTGTTTGTCGAAATGCAAGGTGAGAGTTGAAGGAAGAAATGATGCAGGATGAAACAGAGAAACAATGGCTGGAAGAGGTCGAGAACAGGGGACCTCGGTGCGAGCGCACTGTTTGCGAGATGGGGAAACAGCCACTAGAAGCCAAAATAAAGCGGGGGAGAGTACCGCTGCCGACGCCAACACCTTGTCCTTGTGTGCTCCCACAAGTGACAGCAGCAGCGGCTGCTGCTCACCATCGTGGGTTATCCCACCACCACCTACACATAGACCGAGGTAGAAACGGCCCTTTAACCCAAGAGGAGGAGAGGAGGAGAAGAGGACGAGAGCTTGTTTGGACCTAACCGCTCTCGCGGGACACCACAACCACCAACGCGCTCAAGAGGTGGCCCGCCCTCGTCCTCTCCGCCCGGGGATTCGCGTACATGACCAGTTCCGCCACCAGGCGCGCGTTAACGACGTTGGATGAGAATGGAAACCCGAGCGCGCACGTACCTGGACACGTACGTAGTTGGAGCTCCGGCACTGACCGAAGGCGAGCGCGACGGCCTGGTCCACGAGGTCGGCGGAGCCGTCGGCAGCGATGCGCGAGATGGGCCGGGCCCACTCCTTGGGGCCCCACCGCCGGAACTTGCGGTTCTCGGCCTCCGACACGAGGGGCGCCGCCGCGGCGCCGCCGGCCTCCCCGCAGCCGAGGGAGAGGACCATGAGGTCCTCCACCCCACGGACGAAGGGGAACTCCTGCTTGTTGTGAAGGACGTGAGTGATGGCCGCCGCCGCCGGGTTGCTCATCGCCAGCCCGCCGTCCACGCCGACGCAGGCGGTGGCTCCGTCCACCGAACTGATCTCCGCCGGCTCGAACCGCCCTGGCTCGGCCCACGTCGCCCGGCAGACCTCCCACAGCCGGAAGTCGAAGCTCTCGCTCTCCAGGGCGTCGGCGCGCGAGAACACGAACGGCGCGGAGCTCCTCAAGTCGTAGCACGGGATGAGCACCGGCTTCACCGTGTCCCGAAGCGTTAGGCTCTCGCCGAATGCTTCCTTCATCGCCCTCTCGATCGCCGCCGTCGTCGACCCTTCGCCGCCGGGGAAAAGGCAGCGGAGGAACATTCCCGGGGTGGATGACGAGGAGGAGGAAGGCGACCCCTTTCGGAATAGGCGCTTGCCCTGGTCGGCGAGGAAGCGCCAGGTATCATCGGCGTGGAAGAGGGGGCGAGCGCCGTCACGAGTGGCGAAGAGCATGGCGGCGAAGACGCCCCCGACGCCGGCGCCTGCCGCGACGTCGAAGTAGTCGGAGATTCGCGCGTCATGGTCCCCGGACTTGGTCTTGAGGGCCTGCTCGAGATAGGCCAGGGCCTTCCCGGGTAGGATGCCGCGCATGCCACAGCCGCCTCCGCCGTCGAGACAGAGCACGCACACCTTGCCCCTTTGGTTCTTGAAGGAGGACGCCTCGGCCGCCTGAGCCGGCGGGGCGTCGGTGACAGTGGCGGCTGGAGGGGGAGCCGTCGGGATCCAGAGCTTGTGATCGTCATAGCCAAAAAGGAACTTGCTTTCCAGGATAGAGAAGATCTCGTAGCTTAGCTTGTCAGTGTCGATGCTCGGATCCTCCTCTGCCGCCGTGGCTGCCTCGTCTCCGTACCTCCTCCACTGGTGCGTCGGCACCAACATCTCCTCCTCCACCTCCGCCGCCATGCGCTTCCCCTCTCTCTTTCTTGGACTCCTCTTCTGTCTTCTTCCTCCTCTCCACGGTGGTGAACAACTGATCGATTCCAAAGGGGGGAGCGGCCTCAAAATCGCAACTTGGAACTGCGACAACGACCGAGCCAGATGTCTACAGAGAGATTGAATGGACTGGCTATATATATATTCCCTTTCTTTCACACACTTGGACCCCGTCCACTCGTCCTTGGATTGGTCCTCCGCTGCTTCTTCCTTTCTTTTTCTTCAACATGCCTTTTTCACAAGAAAGATCGAAGCTTGATGGATAAGGAGAGACGGGGATGACCTCCGTATCAATCCTGGAGGACAGCTGATACAGCTCTCTTTGATTGGTGTCTCCTCTGCTTTCACCAGAAAGCACGCGAGGAAAGAGGAGAGGGAGGACAGGATGATGGTTTGTTCGTTTGTTTAGGTGGAGCTGAAGGCAGGGAACACGAAGGACCTAGGTGGACTCGGGTTCATGTCTTCTTCTCCTCGTCTCTCTCCTTTTTCGCCACCTCTCTCTCCTCGCCCTTGGTTATACAAATTGATTCTCTTTCCCTTCTATCCTTCTCTTAACCAGTAGCCTCCTCTCTCTCTCTCTCTCTCTCTCTCTCTCTCTCTCTCTCTCTCTCACAATATGCTGGTGTGTTAGCTCAGCTCAAGATGAGTCTCTTGCTTCTCTCGCTCTTCTCCAGGTTTACGTTGTTGCCTCAATGATGAGGTGAAGTAACTGTTGCTCGAGTACATTAACAGACGAGGCAGAAAGGAAGCAGTAAAGAGGCGTTAGAGATGGATGAGGAAGAGTAGGAAGAGGGGTTCGGTGCTTCCCGCGTGACACCGAGTGGGACTGATCCAACCCAGCGAATCTGCACGGATTCCAGAGATCATATGACTAGCCTCGGAAGCAGTACCATCATCACCTCCTTCTTCTTTAAGATCCACTCTGAGCTCCATGGCGGACAAGATGGCTTGCAGTGTGCGAGGTGGTGAGCCAAATGACTGCCAAGAACACACGTTAGCTGCAGGTAGCAAGATGAGATTTTGGTGCTGAGCACAGCTTGAACGGTCCCTTAGGAACAGGAGAGAAGATGAAATTGATCTCCATACTCTGCCTCGCGCCGACAACCAACCCGGGATTTATTGGTCGGCAAGTGTTTGTGATAATTACCGGGGAATAATGCAGTGCAGGGAGGCGACTCCAAATCCATTAGCCGCTTCTCGTTCGTGTGGGACACATCGAATTCCCACGTCAGACCAGCCACTCTCGAGGGGCGGTTGAAATGTCTTCCTCTTCAATTATATGAACAGCATTATAATACTCGTCGTTGATGGGGATT